AGCCCACACAGCTTGCTTAGCATGCAGGCGTGCCAAGCAGCCGAACAACACGACATGCCACAGCGTGCCCTCAGCAAGCTATCCCACGCGCGCTTGGGCAAGCAGGGACATGCCCTCGCGTGCGCTCACAAGCAAACCCTCACTTCGTGCATGCACAAGCTTCTCGGCGTGCAGACACGTCTCATAAGCCGTGCGCCTGCGCCCGCACACGCATGGTGACATGCGCACACACACACGCAAAGCAGGCCCCCTCGGCTTGCTGGCACGATTGGCAGGGCTTGTGCTCCCGCGCACGGCTAATGCAGGCACGCAGCAGGCCAGGGACCTCGTCTTGGCACCTGAGCGTGCCAGGGCAATGACCCTCGTGCACTATAGCTACACAGCCGTAACCCATGACCGATTTTGGCACCTTGGAGCCCAAAACCCATTCCAAACCTATTTTTACTGTTTCAATCTACATTATTCAAACATCTTAGTCATTCTTCAAACATGCATAATCACCTCGGCATTTAGCATTCCAAATCACTTCAAAAACTTCATCAAACATTTGACATAAACCAAATTCAAATAGTAAACAATTTCATGCATGAAGCAATCAAAAACAAAACAAGCATTTTGACTTTTAAACAGTTTTAAAGCCTAGAAAACTCATTAGGAGGGTGAGAAGAAATACTAAACCCCTACCTCTTACTGTCAAACTTTCGGGTTCAAGGGAAGTGAGGATGTTTGCGGTTTAAAGGGAGAAAAGCTTTCCTTGGGACTTGCGGAAGGTATTCTGCAAATTTGAGAGAGAAGAAAAGCTCAAGGGTGAGATCCATGGCACCCTAAGTGAAGAAAAGAGTCAGGAATGAGAGTTAGGAGACTTACCTTTGGTTAAAGGAAGAAGGCACGAGAAAAACCTCACAGCGGAGGAGGAAGAAGGCTTGAAGCTGTCGGTTTACACTCAAACTCTATCTTAAGCTTCCCTCTTTTTAGTCAAGTGAAGAAGAAGAGGAAAGGGGAAGAAATGGAGAAGAAATGAGAGGTTTTGAGTTTAAATATCCAAGGAGGAGTGCAAGTGATTCGTCGAATCACATGCAAACAATTTCGGCCGTTGATCAGCCTTAATGGCCGACCGACTGATGAGACATGGCATGCATGCATGCCATGTGGCAGCCATGGCAGCAGCTGCAGTGGCACAACACGCAGCCACTGTAGTGGGCAACGTTTGTCCCCCGTGAGTGCGTGTGGCACTGTTCCGCATGCTCGCACTCCCGCGCATGTACTTGCTAACGGCTTCCCCCGAGGCTTGTTTGTGGTCATGTTTTCTTTCTTTTTTTTTTCTCTTTTGTTTTCAATTTTAAATCTCTTTTTTTTATGAAAGTAAAATTAAAATCATGCGTAAAATAATTTTAAGAGTAAATTTAAATTATAAATTTAAAATATGAACATTTAAGTTAAACAGATTCAAGAGTGTCACACTCCATCTATTGAGACAATTGTTGTAGCTTAACATCCATCCGGACATTTGATTGAGTTATTAAATTTTTCAGTTCCTCACACAGTCCTTGCTCGCCCATGGTGTATGACTCTGATACCAAATTATTGTGTTCTCTAATCAAAGATTGAGTCACCGGACGATTAACAACAAAGTTGTCTTCTAGTAAGGGGTTAATACTCTTGTTTTTATTATGAGAGCGA